TTTTATATAGGATCACGGGCCGCGGATTAGGGCGGATGAAACGTCGTGTACAACGAGGATCTCACGTGACACACATGTCGCGCAGGTGAATTCGTGCGCGACGTACTTCGGAGATATGAAACAGCTTTCCAGCTATTTTTCGCGGTGCTCAAACTTTTATCATTTTCCCCGGGTCGGTCGGGGCTCGCCTCCGGTCTCGTTTACGTGGGTAAAAAGCTGGCTTTCGATTGAATTCTGATTTAAGTGCGACGACACCGCCGGCTGACGTCCGCGCTTCATTATTCGCCCGCCGACGTGTGACATGGAGTGGAGATGGTTTCGATTGATTAAAAGCTCGACGCGCACCGGGATGCGGACGTGCGATCGCTCGAGACGCCACGTCTCCGTATTTTCTTCCTGAAATCGTGTGTGACGCGTATCGATTTTTTGCGCGTTACCCTTCACGAGTCCTTCGATCTAAACGAAAATGCCCCGTCGACGAGGGGTCGAAATTTTCACTTCACAAATTAGTCCTGCAAATCGAATTTAGAGTCGTTGTAAAATCTCCAGATGTATAGCATTGTTATTAATTAATCCCGAAGCACAAGCGACACGATTGAGCTTGTAAAACCTCTTTAGATCCTGTCGTTTCCTCTGAGCATTTTTAAAGAAGCGATATTCGGGATTAATATTTCATTATCTCAATATTTTATCCGCTTATATTATCTCTCTTTGTTTTTAACTTAAATGAACAGTGCGTTGTGTTATTTATTCAACTGCAGATGGAATATATACGAGCAAATATTAAGCAATCGAATAAAAATTAAATAAAAAAGCAAATATTAAATAATCGAATAAAAATCGAATAAAAACCGGGTAGAGATATAATTCACAGATAAATCGAACAACAAACAGTCCCTATTCATAATCTCATTATTATTATTATATCCTTTATTCGCGTTTCCCAGGTATCTAATGAGAGAATTTGTTTCTTAGTAAATCTCAGGAGATATATTTTCCTATTGGATACGAAACGCGTTGCTAAACTCATCGAAAAGAACGTTGTAACCTTTAATTTGCTAACTGTGTTATGTATATGCGTCAATTGAATGTTCTCTCACATGAAAACAAGCTAGTTGATCAGAAACGGAGCGTTGATTAGTGATCGCGCATCGACCGACGACGATCATCGAGTGCCACGGGCGAAACTTTTGACACGTACTATCCTGATAATTCTGACACCGCCTCGAGAAATGTTTTCCCTAGTATTGTGATTCCACGGCCGAATGTCGTGTCGTTCAGTGGAAGGGAGGAGAGCCTTCATACCGATTGTTTTGATACCGTCTCACCGCTCGTTTTTGTCCGTGACCACATCATTGTGCTTTGAGTCAGCGAAGGACGCACGCAACAATGTAACGCGGTATATACGTGCATCGATGTGCGAATTATAACTCTCGTCGGACGATTAGAATATTAGAAATCTTGAATCGTGCTCTCGTTGGCAACGCGTTTATTAACATCCGTTCCACTTGTCGAATCGTATCTACGCGAGTATCAGTGTTATTGCCAGTGTCATTGCCAGTGCCACGACGAAGAATCTCGGAATAGCCAAAAGCCTAGGATGTTGGATCGGAACATTAGGACGAAGAATGCAAAACGTAGGGACGCATACAACGGCACATGACATATTTCCAGGTATGTCAAATTATTTATTTATGGTGGATGTTTCTCTGATCTGAAGCGTCCGACGAATCTACCGGGAACAAAGAGAGACCCGAGTCGAAATTTTAAAATCTACTTTAAAAACGATATTTATAGACAGATCTTTTTTTGGGGTACTTTCCATTCAGCGACGCAAGTTGATACAAGCATCATATTTTCTTTGTTGCTCATTGAATATGGAACAAAGACAAAATGATATTCATATCGACTTGTATCACTAAATGGAAATCCACTATTTAAATTCATCGTCTTAAATTCATCTTCAGATGCTATGCTTATTTGATTGGCTACGAAGCATCTGAAAATAAATGTCGATCTTAATGATAATAAAATAAAAATAAGATCTTAAATATAAGATCTGATTACACCGAGAAATCCATTTAGTTTTATCTCGAGTATTTTATCTCGATCGAAGTTCGTCAATCATTCATAAGTCTAAGTCTCGCAAGTATTTGTATTTCCAATAATTTTTTCTTGGGCAGCAAGTCCTATTTCAAATCCGTCGACATCTTCGTTTCTCTCTTCTTGCACCGCAGTCAAGTTGAAGTCATTTGTGTTAGGTAACAATTGGTTCACGCTAATTCGACTTTTCCATCGTCGATTGTATTACCAGGTTTTTTCCGCGTGTTCGCCTTTCATCACATCAGCCGGCGATGAATTATGGATTTATTTGCGGAATTCATACATATGCTCATTATTGATCCGTAAACAATGGGATTGACGGTTCTTTTATCCGCGTATCTCGTCGCTATGTGACAATTAGCCGAGCGCCGTATGTTACACCGCATTACTCACTAATCCATCTCGATACGTTTCATCGATAGCCCGCATTCTTCCTCCTCGGAACGATCACATTTTCGCCGGTGCCGATCACACGTATCCGTCGGACGGCAGTAATCAGTTTACGAATATTAATTAAGCCCTCTATTAAGTGTCCGTCGCCAATTTTTCCTGCCGCTTGCGAATTACCGCGGCCTTTGACGACAACGATAAATCAATTTTGCCGTCCGATAGAGTGAATAATCGGGTAACGTCATCTCGCGAAATATCTTTTGCCGTGTGAACCACGTCCCCCGTTCCTTGAAGCGACTTGTAAAATTAATTAGCGCTTTATTCGGTAACGACGGCCGGTGCGGTTTTCTTATTTTGTCCCTCAAGCACGTTCCGATCTCCGTTTTCACTCACTGAGAATTGAAAATCTTATTTTATATGCATTATAATTTGTCTTGCGAACTTTCTTCCCAGCTCGTGTTATGAGCCTTTCGTTCCAGTGGTAAATTACTTTTTATGTGTCATATTTTTTGCGAATAATTTTATCTTGTATTTTTCAATCTTTCGAATTTCGAGTTACGCAAAGTGAATATTTGAGGATCAGACGTCTTATCAGGTACCTTATCGGCACAGTAAGAATTTTTGCGTTACAAACGGTCTATTTAAATTCGTGTGTTATTTTAACGGGAATATTTAAAAATCTAAAAAGTACACAAATATGTTAAATTAACATATTCACCTTGTTAACACATTACTTTTTAATATGTTCACCTTGTTAAAATAACACAATAATTTGGACGGGAACCGTATGTAACAAACATTTTTTCTACTGCGAGTCTATTGCGATTTCATTAGTTCGAATTAATTCTTTTGCACCGCGTAACAGCTTCTTCTAGACATACTTTTTACCGAAGTAGTTATGCATGTTTAAGCGTTTCGGAGGCGCAACCGCGACGGAAAGAAAGTTCGAAAGTCGAGGCGTTTCCCTCGGCAATTAATTATCGGCTTCACTTTTTGCGTGTCGCGTTTCGGAGGAACCGACCGGGCGAAATCGCCGGGGAAAAAATCGCAACGCGTGCAGATATGCGATCTTGTGATTTTGACAGCGACACGCTGTGAGTCACGTGCGTCGTCCCCCCTCATCAACTTGGCTCGTTCGTCATTGGTGGCTCTCCCTTACGCTTACCTCCACTGCCTATCAGGCTCGTAGCTAGGACGGGTGCTCCCTTCGTAAAATTCCAACCGGGGGAATGCGAGATATTTCTATTTTCGGAATCGCCATATAGTCTTCCTACGCAATCTTTTATTTCACTAAGAATATTTAAGGTAGTTGGTCGAAATGATATATCGGCAATGGAGTGCCGGATTTTCAGTGGCGATATTAAGGCGATATACCTTTTATACAAGTTTACTGAAGAAATACTTCGCTATAACTTAACTATCTAATGCTCGTTTTTACCATTATAATTTCAATCTAATCGACAATTGGCTCTTTTATCTTCTTTTATCGAAAACCAAATATTATTTCTTCTAAATAATACTGTTTTTTTTTTGTTGTTAATTTTTTGTATTAAACAAATCAAGTCATATTAAACAAATATTAAACATAAATAATACCAAATCTAAAGACTACCAAATCCAGAGAAACTTTTCTCTCTCTCGTAATAGAAAGTACATAAATATTTAAATATATGTATATGTACGGGTATTGCAATAAATTACAAATTTCTCGTGCCCGTATTTTCACAACAAAACGACCAATAATTCTGAAATTCTCGCACGTGTGAATATCCTTAATGTCACCGTAATTTCCCATCGAAATCCTAAACGTAGTTTAAAAGAAATTAGGAACCAAAAATAGGCCATTGACATTAAGGAACGGTTGCGAACATCTCATCTCCCAAATGGTCGATCGTTCTCAAACCTGCCAAACGCGCAGATAACATTTCTATCGATACGCCAAGTTTTTTCGAAGGTTTTTTCTTTCCTCAAGAAAATTTTCCACGACCGAACTCCTTAATTGCTGAAGCGAGTTCTCACGAATTACACCGTTCCTGCGATTCTCTCCCTCTCACCCGTCAGCCGCCCCGGGAGCCACGGAGCTCTCGGCTACGAGCCTGCGGCGGCGCCGCGCGCCGCAGCTGCATCGCGACGCACCGGCCGGGCTGCGTTTGTCCGTCAAGCCGCGAGGACGTCAATCACGACGACTGCTACGCGCTTCTCCGGAGCGTCGTCTGAGTCGCGAGTTCGCGATCATCGTCGCGGAAAGGACGAAAACAACGGCGCCGGTGGCCGTTTCCGCGGAGTTGTCGCGCGAATACACGCGTACTCGTCGCCGGGGAACCGGAGAACGCCACCTCTCTGTCGCCGCTCCTGCCTGCTCCTACCGCCGCCGCCGGCGGCTCGTGCGATTCTATCGATCACACGGAGTGTCAACGGGTGTATGTGCGTGCGTACGTAGGACGTACTCGGAACCAACATCGTCCGGCGACGCCGGATTTTCTCGACGCGCGACGCCGCTGTAACGCGTTCTCGCTGCCGCTTCTCCTCGATTCGCACGAACGAATCCGCGTCGTCATTCGCGAACGTGTAAGACAGAAGTGTACACGAAGCACGTGCGCGCGCGGCTTTGTGCGACGGAGAAGCCTGCTCCGTCGGCTCGGAGGAAGCCCCGAGAAGTCTCGACGGGAATAGACGGGCGCGAGTCTCATCGAGCGTTCTTCTTCTCGCCGAGTTCTTCACGCGGCCGAGGGGGCGAAGAATCGTCGACGAGGACGGCGAGGACGGTGTGAGTGATCGCGAAACGGACTTCCAATGGCGCGAGCGGGATCCCATGGGAAAGCGTCGCGGAAGCGGAATTATGAGGCTTGATGGTGCTGGGTGCGCGCGCGCTAAAGACGCGATAATTAGCGGGAACGCTTATTAACGATGATTCCCACGTAATACAACACGGCTGTGTGTGTATTGTTTGGTTGCACAGCTCTTTATGCCCATCCATCGCCCCGGGGGTGCGGAAAACGCGGGCCAGACGTTGACCCTGCGACGCCGGTCTTCCTCCGAGGAAGCCGGAGAAAAGATCCGATCGACGCTCTTCCCGTCGGCAAATTCCAGCGTCGCGCGCCATCAAAGAGCCCCAATTATGTCCCCGTCGGGGGAAATTGGTGGCTCAATCGTCGGCAATTTACTTCGCTGTTTGTCGCGCGCCCGGAGTCCGGGAATAATCGCAGCGATCCTGCACTGGGAGAAAAGTATCTGGCGTTCGTAACTATGATACCGTAATTATACATTATAGTAAGAGAATTATAATTATCGCTGAAAGGACCATTTTTCTAACAAGCATCGGTGTACAATGTAAGTTGTAGTTTTAACCCGGTAATAGTCGCTTCATTTGTTCTCTTTTACGTAAACGATCACGAATACTTGATGTGCCTATTTCGTTTCCTGAATATTCTGCGCGAATAATGTGCGCATATTGCAATTAATATTTTCGCGGTTGAAACCAAAAGAAGAGTAGTTTTGCCGAAAATAACTGTATAATTTCTCTCAGTGTGTGGGGTGTGTCGCACCCTCATCGCGGTCGAGGACCGGCGCGCTATCCTTTCTCTCTTCGCTGGCAATAACACCGGCGTCCGTCCACAGTGGTATTGTGAAAGGCGCTGTAGGGTCGCCGGTGAACGCGCCTCGCGAGGTATTGACCACCGAACATTGTCTCGCGGCTATTAACGCGATAGCTTATCAACGAGGCCGGTGTGGAGGCGTGTGTGCGCACCGAGCGTGCACATCGGGCGGTACAGTCGAGAGACGCGAAGGTGCGCGAGGAGGCGGCAGCGCGAACGGGAGCGCCGCTAAATTTGCATGATTACTGCCGACCGTGGCGAATTATATTCGCCGGAACATGTCGCCGCGACGTAAATCGCCCGGCAAATCTCCCGCGGGCGCGATAAAAGTTAACTGGCCGGGATCTCTCGCGGGCGCGACAACGGTCTCGCCGGCAAAATGTCGCGAGCGTGACGATAAGGGCTCGCCGCCACGCTCGTGGCACACACGCTATAATCGCGCGATTTATTTTGCCCTCGTGGTATTTATCGTATATACGAGGGCGGTCCGATAAGTACTTAGCCTACAAAAGAAAAACGAAAATTTTGGAAAAGTGGCGATTTATTTCTCAACATAGTCTCCTTTTAGCTCGATACACTTGACTCAGCGATGCTCCAACTTCTTTAACCCATCTGAAAAATACGTTTTCTCGAAGTCTGCAAAGGCCTCCGTGGCGGCGATGACCTCCTCATTCGACTCAAATTCCTGCCTGGCGAGTGACTTTTTCAAGTTTGGAAACAAAAAAAGTCGCACGGAGCCAAATCTGGAGAATACGGTGGATGGGGCAGCAGTTCGTAGTCCAATTCGATCAATTTGGCCGAATGAGGAGGTCATCGCCGCCACGGAGGCCTACTTTGCAGACTTCGAGAGAACGTATTTTTCAGATGGGTTAAAGAAGTTGGAGCATCGCTAGGTCAAGTGTATCGAGCTAAAAGGAGACTATGTTGAGAAATAAATCGCCACTTTTAACAAATTTTCGTTTTTCTTTTGTAGGCTAAGTACTTATCGGACTGCCCTCGTATATGTTATCTGGAAGCAGTGCGACTGTTCTTTCTGTTAATAGACGAAACTCTTCGTTCTCTTCTCTGCACTGGGGAAGAAGTGCTGCCGGTCAAGTAATATTTATTTGATCCGAATAAAATAGTTAAGAATTAATTTTTAGTAAATATTTACTCTGTCGACAGAGAAAGCGAAATTTAAAATCACTAGGTTCCTTGGATGGAAAATGAAGTGTTACGTAATTCTGGTAAATATTCTCTCAAATGTAGAATCATTTTATATTTATATTCAGTAATTTATTTACAAATTATAAGACATTACTATGTTCAAGTATAATCAAATATTTATTAAAGTGTACTTAAACTCAAAATATTACTCAATCTTAGAGGCTGAAAAACTAGTAATTACGTTTATTTGATTCTAGCACTTTTTTTTCTGTGTGTCGTTGCTCTCGGAAAATTCTCGAGAAATATCTCGCTGCGTTCATTTGCGGCGAACAATTGTGAATTTTTGTAAATTGCGCGAGATTACGAATCGCCGACGGAAAGTTCGCACGCTAATTGAGGAAGATTAAAGACACCGGATTTCCGTCAGTCGTACACGGCGATGTCGTCGATTATTGATAACTTTCGCAATTGATCCGCTGGTGATTAATAGGAGATTTTAATTCAATTCGAATGATTGATTTCTCGCATCGCGCTATATTTATCGAAACGGCAGCCGGCCGCGGCGACCGGCGGATTAACGTGTGGACGTCCTCGCTTCACGATAGGGTTGCTGGACGCTACCGTGTGCATCGGTATCGATCAAAAAGAACCCTCGTGCAACTTTGATGAAGGCTCTCTCTCTCGCGCGCGCGTCTGTGTGCAACGTGACCGGTGCATCCCGTGGCAAACTGTCGAGCGTGAAACGACGCGCTCGTCTCGTGTCGGTACACGGAGATGTAATTGACTGTAAATAGAGCGGCGAGATAAAGTACCCTATTGTCTCGCCGGCTACGGCGCCGAGGAAATTTCGAATACGCGCCGCGCTCCCGGACGTGTTATTAATGTGTACACATTATTAAAAAAATCATATATATATATAATTTATATATGAAAGAAAAAGATATATATAGAAAAAATGTGCTAGACCCGAGTAAATAATTACTTCGATGGTCCTTAGCAAATTTTTACCTGGATCAAGTCAATATTTAATTTGATCGAAATAAAATATTTTTCAAGGAGTATTGAAATGATTATTTACTTGAATCTAACACTTTTCTTCTGTATATATATATGTATCGCGAGAGATTAGAAACGTATAATTAGACGTTTAAAGATAGGCTCCATAAATACGATATTATCGGCGTGATTCTTTGTGTACTAAATCTGTATTTATCGAGAAAACAGAGCCGATACTTGACGGAGCTTAGCATCGGTGGTCATTTTTCTTGACGTATCACTGAAAGACGGACGAAAAATTCAAATCGCTCAAATTTTTAGCACGCGATCGACTGATCATTTCGAGTATTACCTACTGAAAATGATATTGACTACTTTTTTTTTTCAAAAGAAAACATACCAATCGGCTGAATATATTTATTTAGATCAAATATATTTATATTATGTATATTTATTAATAGTATAGTATAGTAATATAGTTTTTTTAATATTATTATATATACCATTAGTATTTTTAGTATTACTTATATATATTTATTAATATGCAATACACATTAATAAATATATATATATAATCTAATCCCCCTCCCCTCCAAAGATAAACGCCCGAGTAGGATTTTAAATCGCAGTCCACGCCACATTCGAACGAGAGAATCACATCGAGGACGTTCGTAACGTTGCTAAGTTTTCATGTGACGTACGGCACAGCTAAGCAAAAAGGATAACAAGTGTGTGTCGTAACGCCAATTGGCGATATATAGTAAACTATGCATTAGCTGACAATGTTCGGTGGCAGTATACCAGGTTGGTCGGGAGAATTGAGACGCCGCTGTTTGTCCGTCGGGAAAGAGAGAGAGAGAGAGAGAGAAAGGAAAAGAAAAGAAGACTGGAATAAAACGAAGGGGAACGTTCGATCCGCGAGCGAAGTCACGCTTTCCCAGGGATCCCCTCGCATTCCGCCAGATTTGAAGACGCCTGTAGAGTTCTCAGCCTACTTGCATAGCGTCGGTCAGAACAACTGATATTATCGCGCAACGTTTAATTACGACGCGGTAATAACTCGCCGAGCTGACTCTTGCTGCCGGCGAATTTCGTCCGCCGCATTGAGCGTCCGTCTCTCGGCGATATTGTGTACTGATTGGCGTTGCGCAACGCCGGCACGATGACGTACAGTAGACCCCATTTTCTTTTTATTCAATAACAGTACACTGTAAGGAAAAAGTGCTACATTCAAGGGAATACTTGCTAAGGAGTATTTCGGAGTAATTATGTTACTTGGATTAAGTATTACTTAAAAATAACATACTGAAAGAAAAAAGTCCCGGGAAAAAAATGTATATATAATGATATAAGATTTTATATAATTATATATGTGATTTATATAAATTTTGTCTTTATATGGTTACATATATAATTATGTATAATTATAATTATATATGTCCACACGAAATAAAAATACTATTGAATGAAAAAAAACGAGAAAAATAGCATGATTCAATTAAGCGTTTACATCGTGAGCAGCCATAAACATGAGAGTTTATCTCAATTATATTCATGTAATAAAAATAACAGCATTTTTTAGATGTGGAACATGTATGATTATGGACATTTATAGAAACATAATTCATACATAGTCATTTTTTTCTCAGGATGCTAGATTCAAGTAATATCTACTTGATCTAAGTAATGTAATTACTCCAATACTCTCTCTCCTTAGCAAATATTTATTTGAATGTAGTACTTTATTCTTTCAGTGTAGGTCACATTTGGTTCGAAACGCGATTAACACATTGCCAACCGCGCAAGTTGCGCCTCGCTAGGCCTCGATAAACGTAAATAGTGTACGTAGTACATACCTTGACCGGAATTTTCACAATGTTTGCAACATACACTAAGAGAAAAAATAGCTATATAAAAAGAAATAAAAAGAAATAAAAATATGTAAAAAAAAACAAAAATATTCTTTGAGTACTAATAACATATTTGCTTAAATCCAAAATGTTCTTTTAATTAGAACAAACGATTGCTTTCATGAAGAGCTACAGATTTAAGAAAATATATATTTTCTCATGTGATAAAATCTTTTCTCGGTATAAAAACGTGTGTATTAATAAAAATAAATGTTTTTAGAGTAGCCGCCGAATAAATATTTTTTACTTTTTACATATTTTCCTCTCTCGGTGCAGGAATCGAAAATATAAAGAATCTAAAATAAATTGAAAATAGTAATTTTTCTTCATGCAGAACCATTAAAAGTTCAGATCCATAGGTCGATCGACGATTATCGAGTAAAAGGGTAGATCCATCCGATCGGTCGGCAGTGTGTTAAGGTTCACGGTATGATTCGACTCGAATTAAGATAACGGTGATATCTTATCTGACTAGTTTCGCAGAGAACATTTTCATTTGAACGCGATATTGGCTGAAGACTTGTCAATATACTCGACACCGTGGTCACGTAAGCCTCAGGCAGAATCATTCAATCGAGTCTTTCTCGAGAAAAGATTACTTCTGAATCGGTTATCAGATAATTTTCTCGCACTGTGTGATTCACGTCCCGACGGTTTTTCGCCTCGCCGACAACGACGGCCGCACAATAAAGAGCGCCGTGACGGTTTCCTCAACCGCGATCAACCGTGCCGGGGAAGTGATTTAAGGACGGTGTGCTGAGGACAGCCGAAGAAAAAGAGGCTCTCTCGGTGAAATGAGCGGCGATTTAGCTCGGCACGTGGAACGAACTGTAGCCTGCTCGGCGGTTCTCCTCGCGGAGTGTTCTTGTTGATTGTACGGCGCCCCATTGTACAAGTTGCAACGTTCCGTCACAATACGATAAGTATCGGATACCAGCCAGCCGGCCGGCCAAGAACGAGTCAGGATGATTCTCCGCCGAAAATCGCCGCACACCTGCAATTGCCCCTGCCATCAACACTGCTCCACCAAATGCACAGGTTTGAATCTCATCATTATGCCGTCTGCGATCGCGTCGTCTACGTCGTCGCCGGCGGCCGGCATTGTGTCGTCGCGCGACGCAGAAGGCCGACCGCGCGCGATTTCGCGGCGAATAAACCGCCGTTGTCGCCGTCATCGCGGTATCGCGTCGTCTCCGAACTCGTATCGTCGCTCTTTCTCTTTATCGCATTGTTCGCGCCGACACTATTAGATTTTCCCCGCGTTTCCCGCGTTGTTCGTGTCTCGTGTCTCGCATATTCCGACAGTGTGAGAGAGAGACGTTCGCGCGAATGGAAAGGATATGCCCTATTTATTTGTTGTAACGAAAGTTACGATCGCTCAGTCGAGCGAAACAGCGGCGCGGTCGAGCGGGTGGTTATTTTTTTTCCTCCGCTTCTTTTTAGGGCAGACGCGCGGTGTCCCGGAAAAAAATGCACCGAAATTTAGAAAGTTGGACGGTCTCCCGAGGAGTCATGTAATACTGAAATTTGAATACCGAGATAATCTTGCAGACTGAGAAAAAAATATTTAAAAATTTATTCGTTGGATATAAGATTGATCTTGCAGAAATAAGGTTTATTTTTAAGTTTGCAGAAATCAGATTTATTTCTGTGAAATAAACCTTGTATCTGATAAATAAACTTTTAAGCACTTTTCCTCTGTGTGAAATGCAATTTTACCGAGATATTGAAATTGTCTCGTTGTACATACTAATAGAAAAATATCTGATATTTGTAACTATAATACCATGATTATAAATTGTAGGAAAAGAATTCCATAATTAGCCAGTGGCAAACTTTTTTGCTACTGCGGCAAACGTATTATCGTAAATAACATTGAAGAGTTTGTTATTGCAGCAATTTAAAATCGCTCGCGCCGCTAAAGTTTTAAGTGTCTATATATTACAACTAATTTAATTACTGAAGCTAATTTTTTTCCGTGTAGCAAGCATCACTGTAGTGTTGGCGATAATAAGTTTATATGCATGTTGCATGTTGCTTTTGTTTTTGTGATTAAAACTATAAAAGGATATTGTTGAGGCCGAAAAATTGTTCACCACTGAAAACGAGTCGAGTCACTCTATAGATAGCTTTATTTGCTCGGAAAATAAGGAGCGCACGCATTTGAAAGTACAAACGTCCGCAAATTGGCCGTTTTCATTTGCAGCGGCACGCCGCAAGAGAGAGAGAGAGAGAAAGAGAATCGCTCTTGTGCGACGCGATCAGCGATAACTCGCGGTATTGCAAAAGTCCATGCGCCATTCGTCGCCGTGAATCCTCACGGCTGCAGGCGAATAAGAGGATTTACAGAATAATACCCGCGATTCGACGGCTGAAATCTGTGATCGGGACATCGCGACGACAAAGTGTACGGATCAGTTATACCGCCGTCCCGAGACATTTGCGCGAATTACCTTTAGCCCGGCGCGCTGCTATGCGCAAAAGCAACTCGAAAGCTGTCGAATGCGAACATCTCGAATAGATTACATCCATTGACGGACTTTTGTATCGCCCGCTCATATAGCGTGGTCTCTTTTATATCCGCCGCTTATAGAAAAACTCGGTTCCTGCAACAGAATAGGGGCCAGATGAAAACCCGGTGACGAGAAATGGTATCTCTGTTACCGCGACTGAGAACATTCGTGTGAACATTCAGCTTGAAATCTCGCTTTCGAGACAACTGAGCAATTGACTGGTCGGAAACCTCTTACGGGAATCTTTTTGTTCTTACCGAGGTTCTATCTAATCTCCAAGCAACGGAAAATTCAGTTGCACCAATTGTTGCACGGAATTGTTTTTGTTCTGCGCACGAAAAAAAAAACTGGAGTTTCTGACGTTGAATACAGATCAGATGAAAATCCGGTGACGAAAAACGAGAATGTCTCTGCATAGAGAAAGAATTAGTCCTAAATCAAGAACAGATATTCTCATGTATAAACGAGAATATTACATTCTTCTTGGAAGATTTTTAGCCTTGATTTGATTGAATTTGTGTTGATGCTAGTATTGAACTCAATTTAAGATTAAAAATCTAAGAATATTATAATATTCTTGCTTATATGTGAGAATATCCATTCCTGATTTATTTCTTTTTTGTGTGTTATCGCAACTGTGAACATCCAATTAAATGAAAACACAGTTGAAATTATTGAGAGCAATTGACTGAGCGAAAATCTCATACGGAAATCTTTCTACTCCTACAACCGAGGTTTTATCTGGTCTCTAGGCAACGGAAAGCTCAAGAAAAATTCAGTTATATCAATAGAATTGTTTCTTTATGCATGAAAAGAAAGACTTGGTTCGTGCAACTGAATAGAAGCTAGCCATTGTGTAACTCAAAATATAGTGAGAATCACAAAAGTGACCGAATTTGCTAGATTATTTACAATTTCATTGATCAAGACCCAGTGAATATACTGACTTTTGTCATTCTCACTACGTCTTGAAGTGCACAATCTCTCACGACCCTCAGATGAGAACCCGGTGACAAGCGATGATATATCTCGGTCTTATCGCGACGCGAGAACATTCGTGTTCTGAACATAACAGTTGTGTTAAAATCTCGGTCGAAGCAACTGAGAGCAATTGACCGAGCAGAAACCTAGAGGAATTTTTTTATTCCCACAACCGAGTTTCTTCATCTGCTCCTCAGACAACGTAATTGTTGTCTTTTTCCCCCCTACAGATACGTAACTTCGTTATCTGTATTTCTTTATTTCCCGTTATTTTTCATCTTGCGAGTCGTTTTTTTATCTTTGCAACATCGTTCGTCTCCGACATCGCCGAAATGAAATTCTATGTCTGGGAAACTTAGTTTCCAATTGATAATTGAGTTTCGGCCGGGTGTCTCGCGTACGAGTGGTGGAAAACATGCATGAAGTCGTGGACGTGGCGTTCGATGCCGAATTACAGTTCCGAATTCGAGCGTCCGCGCGCCGACGAGAGCGTGGATTTCTTCGCGTGTGGTGCGTGCTATTTGGAGCGTGCTCACCTCTCGCGGCACGGTGTGCATTGTGCATGCATATGTGGTCTCTAGACTGCCTCCCTTCGCACGATTACGCTCCTTGCACGCCGGCAGGGGGGTCGCCAGGGCTGTATCTGCGCAGCCCTTTCATCAATCAATAATCCGCGTGCTTCCGCCTGCGACGGGGAAACGCCGGGGCAGAATCGGCAAGTTTTTTCCGATACCGAGGCTGCGTTAAAATTCATTTTTACTCTCGTCTAACAGCCGCGAGTTAATCGCGCCTGATGCACGATGTACGTCGCATTAATAATCCTCGCAGAACGGATATCGACGGGGAACTCTTGAGTTTTTTTTTTTTTTTGGTTGGTAAGTTTCTATCGCTTTCGCGACGTTGCATTTCAGAACGTTCGATATTTTTTTGGTTATTTTTCGTAATTTTCCGTCTCTGGAAAGTTTTTTAACCGCAGTTTGTAATTAAGCCTCGACTCCGTATTGATCGTGCAAGTGAAATATGCATGAGAAGATCAAATTTTACTAATTAATATTACTTTTTTATAGCAGAATACCGGCAACGTAGAAAATGACGTGTAACTTAGACGTATAACTGACGAGCAACTTAGAAAAATAACTAAGTTAAATCATGGATTGTGAATTAAACTTTCCATTTTGAAAGGAATAGATACAATTTTAGATTCTCGTACCTAAAAGAAACTTCCTCTACTTCTCTTCCAGAATTTTCCACGTTCATCTTGTATTCCCGACGAAACGAGATGATTTAAACGCTCGTTTTGGAAGTTAATCGACCGTCTGTTTCAATCGCACGGTAAACCACAAGAAATTTATTCTTACCGAATATCGTGATTAAAATCGTGATTGCGATCACGTCTATCCGAAGAGAGCTGTTTCAAATGTGTTCGCGAGAATTTTCGCGACAGTGCGCCTTGCTCGCGCACGGCCCTGGACGAGTGCTGTCCCCTCTACCTAATAACACGAACTATCGTACGCCATATCGTCGGGAGTGTTGGCTGCTGAATACCGTGTGATTTATCGTGAATAGCTCGAGATCGAGCTTGCCGAAGTGCGGTTTCGTGGACCGGACGTCCGTCGAACGACAGCCCGAGCCGCCCGAGACGCGGTGCTCGCCGTACACGTTCAAACAACGGTAAGTGTAGTCGACGACGTCGCACGCTGTAGAGACGAAAGTTGGTGACCGAAGGGCGCGATCAGCGATTCTCGACCTTAGCTCCCGGTTCCCTCCAGCTGCACTTTCTGTACTCTGCGATTCCTCTCTCTCTCTCGTTTCCTCTCCTTGTACTTCCTCGCCTTTTCTCTTTCCTCCTTTCTCCTATACCTATCTCTTTTCCCGTATCCCAGGTACACATTTATCTCTCCAACGTGCCGAAAGTAAAGCTAAACGTCGGAACATCGGAGAAAATGTACTCTCTCTTTAGCCGGAAATGTTCTGCACGCGTTATTGCGATTCTTCTTCTGTCTTCGCTTAAAAAATTCGAATATATATATTGTTTCGTCCTAAGTGCAAGGTTGCACTCTCTCCAGGTACATAGAATGAAACGGGGAATCGGTGTATATTCGAACTTTGAAGAGAGAAAGAATAATGCAGAGTGTAGAAAGTGCAACTGATTTGATTAGGTTTAACATTACAACTTCGGTTTTTTGAACTTACATCTTCGTTAATTTTTGTTCTTTTAGAACAAGAGTATTATTTATTTTTTTATTTTTGCTAGAAATACATATTTTATACAGTAAAATTATTAACATATGATATCTATTATTAATTATTATGTTATGTCAAATTTAAATTACTGTATTTTAAATATATTTTCATATAAGGTATTTCATTCTGGTATTGTATCAGATATTCAAATTTTTATTTTACTACAAACTTTCACTATTTATTAAGTTTTATTTGTCCTGATTTATTAAAATGTATTTTTTTTCATAACAGATAAATTAAGGAGATATAACAGCGACTGTTATACAATTTCGATGGACATCATGGAAGCAATATTAAAAGAAGATGAAACGCCAGGACAAACGGAGTGTAACACAGTATCGAGTGTAGTCGCTGACAAAAATGTATCATCTAAGGAGTCAGAAATGACATGTGTGGATACAAAGGTAAAATGTGTATTTTATATATTTTGTAATTGCACAGACCAAAGAGAATCAAGTGTTACGCTACGGCTCGGTATTTATTTTAACGTACATTCTCTTTACATGAACAAAAAGATGCATAGAATGTTTTCATATAGATCAATACAGCATATATACAAGTTATATGCTTGAAAAATGCATGTACAATATTTAGTTCCATTATATTATACACGTTAACGTCTATATCAAACTAGGCACGCTGACAACGTCTGTCTTGCAGGTGAAACAAAAGGCGCGCAAGGAAGACTTATCTACTGCCAAGTCGAAGAAGCCCGACACCAAGGTCAAAGCCAAGAAGATTCGCAGCCTGCGTCCGCCTAGTTACGACCCCACCAGTCTGGAGGACAGTCCAGCGCAGGTGGTGGAGCGCTTCAAGAGGGGCTGTGAATGCATCGACGATCAGTGCTTCAAGGATCTGAATCCCGAGGTGGTTTATCGGCACAGACTGAACATCGCGGAGCTCACCAAGGCCGAGCACGACATGTACCTGATGGGTGTCACGATGGCGTGCTTGACCGACCCTTACCAGACTGCTCGACACACGGAGCGACGTAGACTACGCGCTCAGTACGTTTACCAGGGTCGCAGGGTGTGCCTGGACGCGTTCCTGTACCTGGAGAACTGCACGCATTACCAGATCAAGCGCATCAGGAAGCATCTGATGACGCACGGTGTTACGCCGCGAGTGCACGGGAATTACGGCAAGGTGCCGCACAATACGTTCTCGTTGGACATATACAAGATCGCCACGGAGTTCTTGAAGAACTTCATCGAGGGCCAAGAAGCCAAGCAGAAGACCAAGCTGTCGAAGAACGCGCCGTTGCACCTGCCGCCAGACATCAGCCGGAAAACCGTGCACGACATGTACACGGAGTACTGCAAGATAGTGTCGCCCGACGTGAAGACCATGGGCTACTCGACGTTCCGGAGATTCATGAAGGTGCAATTCCCGCAGGTCAAGTTCGCCAAGCTGGAGTTTGTGGTGAGAAACCAGAGCATGCAGAGTCACTCTCAGACCGAGCTCGAGACGACGACGACCACCACGTCGACGTCGACGCAAAGCGACGGTCAGCAGTCGCCCAAGGCTGACTTGGTCAGCCCGGAAAGTGGTGGCGCGATATTGCCGTTGGTGCTGACCGACGATGGGCAGAACGACACGTACCTCTTGACGCCGATCAGGAAGCTACGGGACGGTGTCAGTTATCAGGTCACCACTGGCGGACTAGTGCTCAACAGAACTATCGCACTGCCGAAAACGAACACGGTGTAGACTGGAGACCGACTGCGTACAGATGATATGCTAATACGTGTATACGTGTGAATGTGATATGTGTTTATGCTGAGATCTTAATTAGTGACGACGCCTACTCTGAGCCTAAAATCGGACGCGTTGATACTATCAGACAAGTAAACAAGTTACGTTAAGGGTTTTGAATGAAGAGGTGAATTTAGAATTGAATGAATATCTCATCAGTGTGTGTAAGAGAAAAAAATAGTATTGAATTATACGTAAGATCTTGTATAAGTTATGTTGTACCTATATTAGGTCGTCTTTGTCGATGTACGTCTTTTGTTGCATTACTCAACCGAGTAAGTATTGTAAGTTACCTTGTTTTAAAAGTTTGTAGTTTATATATAATTTTATATGTGTATATATATATA